GCCTCCCAGGCGCCAGGCTTTTGTCTGCAGACAAGGAGCGAGATCCCCGCTGTGAGGGATTCAACAGCAGCCTCTCAGGCTGGCTGAGACAGATCTCTGGAGAGGGGCACCGACGGGGCATTTCTGCCACAGCAACCACGTGGGGTGAGAGGCGCACTCCCATTGCGTCCCGCGGGAGGTTCCTCGGGTCGGCTCCTGTGCACTCCCACGGACGGTGGACCTGGCGCACGGGGCTGGGTGTCAAGTCCATCTGTACCCACCACCATGGGAGGCCGAGCTGGGGCCAGGAGGCCCAGGCCCGGGCAGGCGGTTGGTGCACTGCCCGCAGGAGCCTGCCCAAGCCTTGCCACGCGGAGCCCCCAGCTGCAACCCCCGGCTCCCGGGACCCTCTGTGGCCCCTCGCTCACCGCCTGCAGTGCGGGGTCCCTGGACGGGAACCACTCCCAGCCTCCCACCAAGCAGCTGGGACTCATCCAGCAGGCTCTGGATGAGCCTGGCCATGGAAGAAGCTGTCCACCATGACCGAGGGCTCCCCGGGAAGCTGCCAGTGGACGACGGCTCCCAGGAGATCGAAATGGCCTCTACACGGGACATTGCAGTGCAGGAGCACGTCAGCACTGTCGCACGCGGCGACTCTGTTGCTCGCCCGACCTGCTGAGGGGCAGAGGGGCACTGACAGGACCCACTCCAGCTGCTAGTCCCTTCCCAGCACATCTGGTGCAGACGCCGTGCCCCTCGCTCCCTGCTCCAGAGCTCCCTGTGCTTTCCTCCAAGCCCGTGTCCAGTCCCGGGTGGATCTGGCCAAGCTCTCAACTCCCACCACGTCTGCTGGCCATGAGCCCCCACTCTCATGCCATGTGCGGGGAAAAGAGTGGCTTGATGTTCATATTACATCAGCTACCTGGTTGTTTTATTTGGTGACCCCTTGTTCTGTGCCCTGCTCCCTCAGCTCTGTTTTTTGGAGTGGAGGGGCCAGAACTGAATGCAGCGTTTGATGCATGGGCAGATCAGAGGTTTATACAGAGGCACAACTAGATTACAGGTTTATTACCACTCCCCACAACACCTCCTGTGCCTGCTTGGGGCTATGGGTACAATTGAGCTCTCCCCTGCATGGGGAGCTCGTGGACGTGGTCCCAGAAGACAGACCCCAGGGAGACATCTGGGCACACAGCTGCAACGTCCCCTGCCCGCCAGGCCCTGCACTTATTCTGGCTCTCCCTGGGAAATGCAAGAGTGCAAAACTAGTAGGGAGGGAAAGACTGCAGAAAGACCTGGATAGGTTGCAAGGGTGGGCTAACAAAAACAGGATGTGTTTTAATACGAACACAGAGGCACAGAGGCAGAAAGGGATCTTGGAGTCATCATTGACTCCAAGATGAACATGGGCCGACAATGTGAGGTCACGGTCCGCAGGGCCAACTGGACCTTGTCGTGCATCCACAGGTGCATCTCAAGTAGGGCCAAGGAGGTGATCCTCCCCCTCTATGCGACACTGGTCAGGCCACAGCTGGAGTACTGCGTCCAGTTCTGGGTGCCCCACCTCAGGAGGGATGTGGACAGCATGGAGAGGGTCCAGAGGAGGCCACCCGCGTGATCCGGGGGCAGCAGGGCAGACCCTACAACAAGAGGCTATGGGACCTGAACCTGTTCAGCCTTCACAAGAGAAGGCTGAGGGGGACCTGGTGACCATCTATAAACTCACTAGGGGGGACCAGAAGGGGTTGGGGAGACCTTGCTTCCCCTAGCACCCCCGGGATAACAAGGAATAATGGCCACAAGTTGTTGGAGAGTAGGTTCAGATTAGACATCCGTAGGAACTACTTCACAGTCAGGGCGACTAGGACCTGGAACCAACTTCTAAGGGAAGTGGTGCTGGCTCCTACCCTGGGGGGCTTTAAGAAGCGGCTCGATGCCTACCTGGCTGGGGTCATTTGAGCCCAGTTTTCCTCCTGCCCAGGCAGGGGGTCGGACCTGAAGATCTACAAGGTCCCTTCCCACCCCACTTCTGTGATTCTATGATTCATGAAAACGTGACCGTGAGCAATGGTAGCAGAGACAGGAAATGCTGGTGAGGCCTTGCAGAGAGAGCTGGGGCTGGAGTGCAGCGTTGCAAAGACGAAGACGAATCCAGCTCGCCCTGTCCAGCCAGGACGCAGACAACGATCCACGACAGCTCCTGCAAGCACAGCCGTCCCATCTGCTTCCCCTTCTTCCCGGGGGAGGAGAAATGTGGGGCTCATCAGCCCTGGATAAACCCGCCCTGCTGTAACACATTCAGACGAAACCGCACGCAGAGGGGAAGAACAGGCAATCCACGGAAATCTTTACTAAAAGTGAAAGGTTTGTACACCCTGAAGAGAAACCAGAGCAGGCCTGTGGCGTGTATTTTGAGAGGTATGTAAACCCCTGACCAGGGAATGGCCCCGTGGCGCTAACAGTGATGCCGGGCAGTCCTCGTGGACACACACGCAGTGTCCAGAAAGTGCGATACTCCACCAGGCAGGTCAGCCGGACCTTCCAGTCAGCAAACGGGGACAGGGGGCCAAGAGACCCTTGCACCAGCAGGAGTAAAGCTGTTATCTGCAGCCAGTGGTTCATCTCATCAGACTCCAGACACCCCGGGATAGACTAGAGGGGTGCCAAGCTCTTAGCATTCCCTCCTTTGGTTGCCTACAGAAAAATAACAGAGCAGTTTTCCTATTGCAAGAAACCCAGAAAGACGATGCCTATGGATTCCTATTAGAGAGCTCCGGGTTTATCTCATGAATCACGCTCCTACACCTTTGCACCAGTGTGCATTTGGGAGCACACTGGTGCACCCTTGAAAGGGTCTGGTTGAGGATCCCTGCCTTAGGCTGAAAGCAAACAGGGGTTTTAAGCAAGACTGATCAGTCAAGGATATGAGAGGCATCAAAACAGGGTTCGATTTAGTCATATGGCATACAGCGACCAGACGAGAACACAAGCGATCCACAACCCATAGACAGCAGCACTAAGGGATCAGGCTAAAGTGCCTGTGTAAATGATGCCAACCCCAGCCTTTGCAAGTAGCTAAGAACAAACTTGCCAGGCTGTCACAGGGCTCTGCGGTGTGCAGGCTCCTTGAAGGGAGCGAGCAGCCTGCTTGCAGGTGGTGCAGGGGGCTAATGAGAGACTCGGCTGACCCGAAAAGTGCTCAGGATGGAGCTATATAAGCCCAGAGCCTGAACCAGTCAGGCAGTCTCTCCCTGGCAGTCACAACGTGAGTAGCGCCTGGGAACAGGGCTGCAGAAGGGGCTGGACTTGATAAGAACAGCCTTGCAGGCCCGGGAGCAGAGGCAAGCCTGGGCAGGCGAGGCAGGCAGGTGACCTTTGTTTTATTCTGAATGCACAGAGGGTCCCTGAGCCCCGAGAAGGGCTGAGTTGGTCCGGGGGGTCCAACTCAGGGGGACCATGGACGCTGCAGAGAGCCCAGGCCCAGGCCATGCTCCTGCTGCAGAGGAAGGCAAACCCCCCCAGTGCGACCAGTCTGAGTCCAAGGGGCTGGGTGGACGCGTGAACTGCAGCTCGGCCACTTCTGCCCCAGCGCTGAAGGAGAACAGCCCTGGGAACGAGGACCCGGTGCTAATGTAACCAGCTACCCTGTTATCGCTTGATGGCTCCTGGCCATCGGTGAAGCAGGAGGGCTCATTCAAAGTAGAAGAGGCATGGAAATAAAACACATCCCCATCTAAAAATCAGCTGTACACACACAAAACAATCATTTACAGATATTATCTTGTAGCTAAAGAGATCCTTTATTAATGGATCTCATTAGGACGCCTGCATTTCTAGGGGTTGAGAGCTGGTTCTTCTCTTTCTCTCTCCCTGCAGCATCCAGGCCAGCCTTTCCCATTTGAACACTGGTGTGTATAAAAGCAAAGCCAGTCCATTTTTTCCTGTGTGCAGAGGGATCCTGACTTTCAAGGCTCCCAGGACTGTTGAACCTGCCAGTCAAGCAGGGGGCCAGGACAGGCATTTGTGGCGCTGAGCAGACCGCAGAGTGCCATCCCAGGCTCCTTTTATCCTGGATGAGCTGCCAGTGTTGCAGGGCTCCAGGTCCAGGCTCCCAACAGGACTTGAAGCAGAGCTGAAAATGCACAGTAGGGCTGTCACTGGGGAGAGTGCGGCTGGACCTCGCCTGCCTTGCCTGACAGCAAGGCCCACTGGCCTTTATGCTTGCAACGAGCCCCTCCCGCAGCCCCTGGACAGCCCGGTGCATGCAGCGAGGGCATCCCGGAGACAGGAGGGAAGAAGACTGCACGGTGGGGCAGAGCTGGGACAGGCCTCCCGCCTCCTGGCTCCTGTTCCCCAGCCCAGGAAGCCCCAAGGAACAAAGCCGGGACACTGGGACTGGAGGAGTTCTTCCACGGCCCCTTGCACTCACCCGTGCCGGGAGCTCCCCGTTGTCTCCAAGCAGCCAGAGGTGAAAGAGCAGCATCGGGAGCAGAAGGAGCCAGCACAGCCCTGTGCCCTGGGTGCGAGTCCCTCCACCTGCCAGACCTGTCACCTGGAGCTCTACCACGCGTTGGGTGTGAGGTGTGCGGGCACAGAGGACAGCGTGGCAGGAGTAGTTCCCTGCGTTGCCCAGGGTTGTCCCCCTCAGCAGCAGGGAAGCATTGCCCTTGGCGAACTCCCCCGGGAAGAGCTGGGTCCTGCCTCTGTATCTGGCATCCTGATGCTCCGGATGAGCCTGGCCATGGAAGAAGCTGTCCACCACGACCGAGGGCTCCCCGGGAAGCTGCCAGTTGACGACGGCTCCCAGGAGATCGAAATGGCCTCTACACAGGACGTTGCAGAGCAGAAGCACGTCAGCTCCGTCCCACGCGTCGCTCCCGCCCTGCGGAGTGGCAGAGGGGCACTGACAGGACCCACTCCGGCTGCTAGTCCCTTCCCAGCACATCTGGTGCAGACGCCGTGCCCCTCACTCTCATGCCACGTGGGGGGAAAAGAGTGGCTTGGTGTTCGTGTTACATCAGCTACCTGGTCGGTTCATTTGGTGACCCCTTGTTCTGCGCCCTGCTCCCCCAGCTCTGGTTCTTGGAGTGGACGGGCCAGAACTGCACGCAGCGTTTGATGCATGGGCAAAGCAGGGTTTTATACAGCGGCACAACTAGATTACAGGTTTATTTCCACCCCCTGCCCAACACCTCCTGTGCCTGCTTGGGGCTACGGGTAGCACTGAGCTCTGCTCTGCATGGGGAGCAGATGGACAGCATCCCATAAGACAGACCCCAGGGAGAGAGTTGAGCACGCAGCTGCACAGCCCCTGCCCTCACTCTGCCTCTCCCTGAGAAATGACCAGGGGTGACAGGAGTGACAGTGGCAGAGACAGGAAAGGCTGCCGAGGCCCTACAGAGAGAGATGGAGCCGGAGCCGGAGCCGGAGCCGGAGCACGGCGCTGCAAGGACGAAGGGGAATCCAGCTTACCTTGTCCAGCCAGGACGCAGACAACGATCTGTGTCAGCACAGTACCCGCGAGCACAGCCATCCCGTCTGATCCCCGCCTTCCTGGGGGAGGAGGCATGAGGGGCTCATCAGCCCTGAAGATACCCATCCCCTGCTTCCAACCACGGCGCCCTGGTATGCGCTCACACGAAAGCTGTCTTCTTAGAAACCAGCTGCAGGGTCGGTGCGCATTTACAAGAGCTCACTTCATCACTCGCTGGCTTTTTTTTGGTTTTTTTTTATAGCCAAATCGGTCTGCCCGGGCAACCCCTGGGTAGAGATGGACTTGACACCCACCCCCACGGGAGGCCCCGGCCCCTGGGACCGTCTGCGGTTCCTCGCTCACCGCCTGCAGCGCGGGGTCCCTGGACAGGAGACACACCCGGCCTCCCGCCGAGCAGCCGTGCGGCGCGCGGAGCAGCCCCGGCAGCGCCGAGCACTTGGCCTGGAGGGGTGGCGCTTCTGTGGCATTGGCTGTCCTGGGCGGGGAGCGCAGGGACGGTGGCATGTGGAGCAAAGGGGGAAAGCTAAAAACAAGGGACTGTTGCAGGCTGTGCATGACGATATAGCGTGAAGTTAAGGCATGCGAAGCGGATGTGAAACACCATAGCCCGTAGGCCTGTAGGTCTGAAATACTGGCTCAGCACTTTGCACTTGTCAGTGTTGAAACCCATCCTGTTCTCATCTGCACACCCCTGTGACTTGTCTTAGTCTGATTGCAGCTTGTTCCTTCCTTCTAGCGTGCCCACATCCCTGCATGGTCTCTGTCCATGACCACATTTCACCTTTAGATCACCAGGTTGTTTTTTTCTTACTCTCAGTTCCCTTTTCAAACCTAAGATAGCCCCAGTAAAAACTTTTTATTAATGAATCCCACATCCTAAAGAGACAGAAGTTCCTTAGCTACGCACACGTACTAATAAACATGTAAAATAATAACCTTTGTCAAGCACAGGGCCCCAAACAAAGGTCAGATTAGGGTGGGATTATGGGGCAAAATACTTCTTGGGACGCCCCAAACTTCCTGTCAGTGCCCCTGAGGGACTGTCCCAAAGAACCATGACCACAGTCCCGCCCGCCCCAAGGCATGGTTTGGCCGTGCCAGGCTGCCAACAGACACCCCCACCCCCCAGACACTGTGCTAAATACATGGACCCGAATAAGGAACTGGATTTTGGGCTATTATACCCAGAAATCCTTCTTGGGCCACTTCTGGACATCTCTGAACAGAGATTTGCCCGTCCCAAAAGGTGGTTTGGCCGTGCCAGGGTGCCAACAGACAGCACCCCAGCCGCTGTGCTTGATATATGGACCTGAAATACAGCTAGAAATTCTTCTTGGGCCACCCCATGGCATTGCTCTGTTGGCAACCTGGGGCGGCTAAACTGCACTTTGGGCCAGGCACTATTCAGAGATGTCCAGGAGAATCCCCCAGTGCCACAGAGGTGCGGTCTGGGGTGGCCTAAGAAGGATTTCTGGGTATAATCCCAACCCAAAATCCAGTTCCTCGTTCGGGTCCATGTACTCGGCACAGTGGCTGTGGTGCTGGCTCTTGTCAGCCTGGCACGGCCAAACTATGCTTTGGGCTAGGCAGGTCTGTGGTCAGAGATTTCATAGACATTTGAGCTGGAAAGGACCTCAGAAGATCATTGAGTCCAGCCCCTTGCCCCAGGGGCAGGAAGTCAGCTGGGGTCACAAGATCCCAGCAAGATCAGCATCCAAATGTGTCTAGAAGGCGTTCAAAGTGGATGCTTGAACCACCTCCGGCGGCAGGCTATTCCAGGCATTGGGGGCTCGGACAGCAAAGAAGTGCTTCCTTATGTCCAGCCTAAATCAGTCGCAGAGGAGTTTGTGACCGTTCAACCTTGTCATCCCTTGGGGCGCTCTGGTGAACAAACGTCCCCCCAGATGCTGGTGGTCACCCCTGGTAAACTTGTAGGTGGCCATCAGATCACCCCTGAGCCTGCGCTTTTCCAGGCTAAAGAGCCCCAGGGCTCTCAGCCTGTCATCGTAGGGTCTGCTTCCCTGACCTCTGATCATGCGCGTGGCTCTTCTCTGCACTCTCTCAAGCTTCTCCACATCCTTTTTGAATTGTGGAGCCCAAAACTGGACGCAGTACTCCAGCTGCGGCCTCACTAAGGCCGAGTACAAGGGGAGAATGACGTCCCGGGATTTGCTTGAGAAGCATCTATGGATGCAAGCCAGCGTTTTGCTCACCTTACTAACTGCAGCATCACACTGCAGGCTCATGTTCAACTTGTGGTCAATCATGACCCCCAAGTCTCTTTCTTCCGTAGTGCTAGCCAGTGTAGCACTGCCGAGCCTATAAGTATGCTGCAGGTTTTTCCTCCCAAGGTGGAGGACCTTGCATTTTTCGGTGTTGAACACCATCAGGTTCTCGTCCGCCCATTTGCTGAGCCTGTCCAGGTCAGCCTGGATCGTCCTCCTGTCCTCAGGTGTGGATGCTTTGCCCCAAAGTTTGGTGTCATCGGTGAACTTGGCCAGTCCACTTCTGACACCAATGTTAACATCATTGATGAAGATGTTAAACAGTAAAGGTCCAAGGACAGAGCCTTGGGGGACCCCACTGGTCACAGGGCACCACGACGATTGACTTCCATCAACCACCACCCTCTGGGTCCTGCCGCGGAGCCAATACCCCAGCCATCGGATCATGGTGAAGTTGAGGCCACAGTTAGCCAGTTTTGCCAAGAGATGATCATGGGATACCAGATCAAAGGCTTTTTTAAAGTCGAGATATATGACATCAATCTCTTCTCCCTTGTCCAGGTGATAGGTCACCTGGTCATAGAAGGAAATGATTTTGGTCAAGCAAGACCAAGATGTGCAGGAGAGTCCCCTGGTGCCACAGAGGTGTGGTCTGGGGCGGTCCAAGAGGGATTTCTGGGTATAATCCCAGCCCATAATCCAGTTACTTATTCGGGTGCATACGATTAGCACAGCAGCTGGGGTGCTGCCTGTTGGCAGCCTGGCACGGCCAAACCGTGCTTTGGGCTGGGCAAGTCTCTGGTCACAGATGGCCAGGACAGTCCCCCGGTGACGCAGAGCTATTCTGCTGGGCGGCCCAAGCGGGATTTCTAGCCATAATCCCAGCCCGAAAGCTAGTCCCTTATTCAAGCCAGTATACTTAGTACAGTGGGCATGGGGGATGTTAGTTGGCAGCCTGGCATGGCCAAACCGTGCTTTGGGCCAGGCAGGACTGTGGTCAGGGTGGGAACCAGGAATAAGGAATAAGGACCTGGGAATAAGGAATAGGGAGCCGGGAATAATGAACTGGGAATCAGGAACCAACTTCAGCCTCATCTTTAGATCGCTGTTCTTCCGGCGTGCGTCAGCACCCGCCCAGTTGGGGCTTAAAGACCACTTTGTGGAAATGGGGGGCTCCTCCCTAGCTTGCTCCTGCGGCCACATACTGAGGGCAGTGAAACTCGGGGGCGTCCGAACCCCCAGCCTCCTGCACGTAGGATGCCCGCCAGAAGACTGGAAATATCTGAAGCTGCAAGTGGGGTGGGGGATGTTTGCCGGTTGAAGGGCCACATATGGTTCTGGACTCACTCATGGATTTGGATTTGGACTTGGTTTTGTGCGGGCACAGAGGACAGTGAGGCAGGAGTAGTTCCCTGCGTCACCCGGGGTTGTCCCCCTCAGCAGCAGGGAGGCATTGCCCTTGGCGAACTCCCCCTGGGAACAGCTGGGTCCTGCCTCTGTATCTGGCGTCCTGATGCTCCAGACGAGCCTGGCCATGGAAGAAGCTGTCCACCACGACTGAGGGCTCCCTGGGAAGCTGCCAGTTGACGACGGCTCCCAGGAGATCAAAACGGCCTCTACATGGGACATTGCAGCGCGGGAGCACGTCAGCACCATCCCGCGCGTCGCTCGCCCGACCTGCCGAGTGGCAGAGGGGCACTGACAGGACCCACTCCGGCTGCTAGTCCCTTCCCAGCACATCTGGTGCAGACGCCGTGCCCCTTGCTCCCTGCTCCAGAGCTCCCCGGGCCCCTTTCCTCCAAGCCCATGTCCAGTCCCGGGTGGATCTGGCCGAGCTCTCAACTCCCACTGCATCTGTTCAGGTCCCTCAGTCTCTCCTCGTAGGGCCTGTCCTGCTGCCCTCTCACCAAGCGGGTGGCCTCCTCTGAACCCTCTCCAGGCTGGCCACATCC